CTGGCCCCTGAGCCGCGGGGACCATGTGGTGCCGAGAAGTTGGCGGCCGATGGGTCGCTAGCCGGGAGCTGGCGGCGGCGGGACTTTTCACCGCCGCGGGGTCCCGGGCGCCCGCGGCTTGTCCCCGAGCGCCGGTGCCGACTGGACTTCGTGGCTTCCAGGTTGGGTGGAGAGCTCCCTGGAAGACTGGGCACCCAACTCCTGACTCCTTGACAACAAAGGGGGGATGGGAGGTGTCTTCAGTGGACACAGACGGAGCCCCGCAACTGAGGGAGCCTTCCTCGCGCCTCTGCACCTACTTCTTCTTGTGTTACTTTTGGTAGATTGAGGTTTGCTATTAAACTGGGTCTGAGAACTTTTAACGGTAGGATGGTAGTGGGTTTTGAACCTCTTATTTGTTGTTTTACCCCCTCTTGCCGTTCTTATTCATGCAATCGTACTGCGTGCATTTTGGAAAGAAAAAGGACACGTATGAACTTCTTGGGGGTGGGATGTAGGGATATGTTTTGGGAGTGATTAAAAATAAGCCCTTGTAGAACATCGAAACACCGGGGAGACTGCCATGCCGTCATTTGGGTGGGACCCATCTTGGACGCTTCGCCGTGACATGGAGGTGCCTTTCTGGTTGATGCGTGACAGCGATTTTAATACCGTGCCAGGATTTCTCCCCTTTCTGATTGGCTCAGAGGCACAACGCCGCTGAAGGCTGTTGTGTAGTGTACAGCATGAGAAGCCTGTTGAATTCTGAGGCAGCGTGGGGCTGCTGCTGCTGCTGCTTTGAAAAGGTGTTTGTTTTTCACATCTTCCAAATTACACTTTTCTTTTTCTCTCAACAGGAAGGAGTCAAGACTGAGAACAACGATCACATTAATTTGAAGGTGGCGGGGCAGGATGGTTCTGTGGTGCAGTTTAAGATTAAGAGGCATACGCCACTTAGCAAACTAATGAAAGCCTATTGTGAACGACAGGTGAGGAGCGGATGGGGCACTTCCACTGAATGAAACTTTGAAGAACATAAACTCTTACTTTCTGGAGAATAGGAACCAGGCTAGTGTAGTACTGTAAAGACATTTCTCTGTTTAGTAGGATGGATAAGAACTTGACATTGTTTTTATAACACACTGGCTAGGTTGATTTCTTCTTAAAACCTTGCCATGGGTTGGTTTGTATTATATATGATCTTGTCCTAGGCAAATACATCAACTTATATTCATACACACATACTTGGTTTCTTCCCAAAGTCACATGTAATTGTACTGTGATAAGAAAAGAATGAACAGTTTAAAAAAATTGACAGGTCTTTTTTTTCTAATCCACTTGAAACTTGTGTCTAAACACAGGTTATCTTGGAGCATTTAACCAACTTAGAAATTGAAAAGTGAGGTTAAAGGACATTGCAATTCTCGTGAAGCATGCAGAGTGTACATTTTTATTTTTGACTTCCACAGTAGAGGTCAGAACAATTGAGCCCCCGCTGAGCATAGCCTTCTTGTATTGCAGGAATATTCACGTTTTATTCAGAAAAGAGGTAGGTAGACAGGAAGAAGTGGAGAACTGATGCTGGGAGCTAAACCATTGGTTTTTACTAAGACAAAGGAGTTCCTTTTGTGATGTTCACTGTAACAATACAAAAGAAATTTGAAAGATGAATTCTTGAAAGTATAGCAAAAGCGGGGACCTAGGACAGTTAATCTAACAATAAGCTGGCTGAAGTTATATTTCTTTGATCTGTACCAAGTATATAATAGATGAAAGTTGGGGAAGTAATTTTTTTTTTTGGTCCAGCAAAACTTAACTACCATGTGAGACCTAAATATAAATTAAAAAAATAGAGACAGCTTAGTGTTGTATAAATTGGGGAAGTAGCATGTGAGTTGATACTTGGGCATCCTTTGTAGGACCTAATGCCATTTGAAAACAACACTGACAGCTGTTGAAGCTAGCACGTTTTTTTGTTTAGTGCTTGATGCTTTTGTGCCTGGTTTATTTACTGTGTAATAGAATTCTGTGCTTGTGATTCTTCCCATACTAACCTTCTTAATAGTTCTTTATAGTTTGGAGAAATTATTTTGAAGGCAGTCCTTTTTTTTTTTTTTTTTGTAGAGTTCATGTAGTATAGTTACCTTAGAGGGAGAGGGTTTCAAAAAAAAAATCACGGGAAGTTTTTATCTCTTCATTCCATTTTCCTACAAATTTTCTTTTTAAAATCCCCTTGTACTAAATAGGACCTCATGTTTAGATTTTTTTTAAGATTTAAAAGAAAATTTCTCTGTATTCCTTGTTTTACTTTAAAACAGTGGTTCTCAACCTGTGGGTGGAGACCCCTTTGGGGGTCGAACGACCCTTTCACAGGGGTAGCAAAATTAGTGTTTTAAAGTAGCAACAAAAATAATTTTATGGTTGGGGGGTCACCACAACATGAGGAACTGTACTAAAGGGTGGAGGCATTAGGAAGGTTGAGAACCGCTGCTTTAAAAGCTGCTACTACATTTTAACATTTAAATGGTCACATTTTGCAATAATTTATTAAAGTTTTCAAACCTCTAGCAGGATTTTTTTACAAGGAACACTCATTAAGTCCACTACCTAGAGCTAACTGTTCCTACTTTGTTATACATATCCTTAGCTTCTTAGAGAATGTCATCAATTCTTTTTTTTGTTTCATGTTAAAATTAATTTTGTATTACTCAGTATAAATAAAATGGCTCTTTGACTTTTCCTAGTTTGCTTTGTTTAATAATCGAGATTATGGTTGACAGCTTGTTGGGATCACTCTGAATTTACAAATAGAAGCATCAGATAAAAAAATTAGATTAAAAAAAAACCTAATTGACTTCTGCTACTTATCTATTGATGTGTAAGTAGGATTGAAAGATTCGATCCAGGAAGAGCTTAGGAAAATATTTCTTTCAGTTATCCCCCTAAATTAGGAAAAACTTGAAGGTCAGAGTGAAGCGCCATCCCTGCTTTTCAAAAGATTTCTCTCATCCTAAGGGAGTGTCACATTATTGACTTGGTACCCTGCTGCTTTTTAAGGGGAGGAAGTACAAGCAATCAAAAGACTGGGAAATCATTTCTCCCATTTTTGGCTGTTTAAAGTCTTGAACAGGGATTCCCTCTTAAGATTAATTAACTACTTGTATTTACTTAGTGATGAGCTTCCTTTGGCACGGTACCTCTGATGAGGTTCCAGTGGATCTCAGATGGGCATCTCAAACGGAAGGCACCAAAAGCCCTCATGGTAGTTACTTGTAGAAGTCTCTTCAGTCTGTCCGTCCGTCCCCACTCATAAATGACAGCTATTCTACATCGTTGATGATGTTCCGAGAATTCATCAGATTCATCTGCAGGTTCTGTTCTTGAACTAAAACTCTCCCCTGGGTGCCACAATAGCCACAAGCCACAGGTGGTTATTGGAACCAGTTCGAAAAAAATGTGCTGTTTGAAATACCAAATTTTAGCAATTTGGTCTGAAGGAGAATTCTCAAAATTTTATTTATTTATTCCCCCCCCCTCAAAATTTTTATATACTGAAATGATGCCCATTTTACTCTTTTGAGTTAAAATACATTCTGAAAATTGTACCTATTTTTGAAATGGCTACTAGATCGTTTAGAATTAGCTGTGTGACTTGCCTTCTATTGTTGGCCCGTGCAAGCTAAGCACTGGCAGAGAGCCGGCACCGTTTTATTCCGATCTCATCTCGCTCAGCCACTGCTGAGCTGCCTCTCCAGTCCCGTCTTCAGTCACGTGGCCCTGTTCCCATCACTCTCCATCGTCTGACCTGCTGGTTTTCCTGTCTTTCTTCACTAAAGTGTAACCCTGCTGAAGATAGAAACTGTTCACTGATGAAGTATCTCAGCCCTTAGGCCAGTTTGTGGCACAAAGACTGCTCAGTAAACACTTGTAAAATGGTAGAGAGCCTTCAAGCTAATGATGATTTAATGCACACGGAGTTAGTTTGCATGCCCACTCTGCCAGCTACACAGCCTTCCTGTTCCATTCCAGTGCAGATCACCCATCAGATCAATCACACCCGGATTCAATGGCTTCTGAGAGCCCAGTGTGCGGGTTGAGGCCTCCTGTCCCGTTACCCCCTCCCCCTTTTCCGGAGAACTTGTATAACTCCTGGGAAGAGATTCTTAGAGAAGCAGGGCTTGAATACTGGTTAATGGAAGATGCATTGCTTGAATTTACATTGGTTATGGGATCTTAAAGACTTACTTTTAAGCTCAGGTTTCAGTGTCAGAGAACTTTTAGTGATAAAACCTTAAAAAAGAATGTGTTGGATTATCTCAGAAAACAAGTTGTTTGTAATCCTGTAATAACCTAATTAGGAAGCATTTTATTATGCATAGGCTTTCCAAAATCGCAGCATAGCTCTTTGGAGATCTTGTTAATGTGTGCCCATTCATTTTGTTGCTTCAAAATAGAGATGACGCTAAAGGAATAGTTTCCTTCTGGCTCTGTCTTCCCTTCTGAGCAGTGACCAAGCCATTGACGGGACCAGTGGGTGGAGGAAGCTAACCTGTGAAAGGGTGCTTAGTTGAAGCAAGGAGTCTTCTGTGGAGTATTTGCAAATATATCCAAATTCAGACCAAACTCAATGCCAAGTCGTCAATACTGACTCATAGGGACCCTATAGGACAGACTAGAACTGTCTGAGGGTTTCCAGGACTGAAGCTGCCTGGCTCAGCCATGGCTTCTCCTTTGCTTTGTGCAATTGCAGATTAAGTTTGAAGGTCATGCTCCCTGAATATAAGGTGATGTATGTTCCCTGCCTGGCTGGAGAGTACTAGTCCTCCTCAGACTAGTCCAAATCATTGCTTTTCAGAGACCGCATAGGCTCTTCAAGGTACAGATGGGTTTCAGAACAGGTTGGGTGACTCCGTGTTACCAGGGTGAGTTTGTTGAACACTGCTGCGCTCTTTAGTCCTAGGAGCTCTGTTCCATTTGCTTGCAAATACGTTGTAGCCGGGGAGTTGGCGCATCTGCAGCGGTAGTTTGTTGTCATTGAGCCCCTTCTTCCAGCAGTGCTCCCCACCTGGTCTTCGCACGGATGTGGTGGCCACCACTGGTGTCTTTGCTCCTCGCCCTGCCACTGTGACAGGCACCGGCCTTGAGAAGCCGTACTCCTAGGATCAGCCTTTTTTTTTTTTTGCAGGAGGAGGAATGCTTGGGCTCAATCTCTTAATATGTACAGAATTTTGTTGGAGCAAAACTTTAGTCGATGACACTTTTTGGAGGGGTAATAAAGCTTCCCCCTGACTTTGCAGCTGTAGGTTTACAACCAACGTGTAATTACTGTTTCTGATATTTCTGCCTTAAGGACTTTTTTTTTTTTTTTTTAAAGCATATTCACCTGGCAATTGCTGGTCATCCATTTCTTCTGTCAGCACTTCCTGAGCCCCTCCTATGAGCAGGGGACCTCAGGAACCCAGCCAGCAGGGCAGAGCTTGGTTTTCAGTGAGAGGTGGACAAGGAGTGACATAGTTTAGGATGTGCTAAGAAGGGAAGGGAAAATTGGGTGTTATTTTTGCGCTGGATTTCCAGGAGGGTTGTGTCTGCCGAAAGGTTGAAGGCCTGCTCCTGCCTCGTGGTCTAGTGGGAAAGGGCACCAACCACTTGTTAATGGTCAGGTGGGTGTGTCAGGCTTCTCCCTGTGTGGAACATGTGTTTTTGGAGAGTGGTAGGCCTTGGACGGAATGTCAGTGTAGGAAAGTTGGATTTTATTCTTCACATCTCTTGAGGGGGACCTCCAGTGTTCTTGATTAGTAAGGTGCCCTCGAGGGATCTCGCTGTGAGCATCTCTAATTTGACTCTTTGCCGTGTCTTTGTGGCTCATGTAAATGCACTATTCCTTGTCTCCAGGTTGGAACTGTCCACTTACTGTATATCTTTGTGGTCTCAAAAGCCATTTAAAAATAACTTTTTTCCCAAAGAGCAAACAAGATATTTCATAGGAAGTAAAAATCACCTTGCATATTTTTTACCTTCATAAAAATGTTAACGTCTTGGTTATTTATTTAGAGATGCCTTTTAATATGTTTTTGGCTAAATAAGCATGTAATGTTTTCTGTTTGAAGTTCTTAAAAGTTCTTCGGTCCCTTATTCTTTTTAAACTTTCTTGTTCAGGGTTTGTCAATGAGGCAGATCAGATTCCGATTTGACGGACAGCCAATCAATGAAACAGACACACCTGCACAGGTAAAAAAATTCTCTTCCTGCTAAATTAGAGGGGAAATCTAGGATTTTAAATACTTGTTTCTAATACAACCATGTTTAATAATTTGAGAGCAGAATAGAATTCTCAGCACTCAAAACTATGTGACATTTAGCTATAGGAACCTTAAAGGAAAATAATTCTTCAGCAAATAGGTCCTTTAGTTCTTAGCACTGCCTTGGAATAGATGCTGCCCCTGTGAGCTTCTGAGACTAACTTCACGGAAGTAGAAAGCCGCCTCTTCGCCATTGAGCCACTGTAGCAAGGCCCCCCTCCTCGGTTGATGAGGATGGCATGGAGTAAGGATAAGGTGACCAGACGTCCCGCTTTTGGCGGGACAGTCCCAATTTTTAACAAATTTTCCCGCATCCCTCAGTGTTTTTAAAAAGTCCCAATTTTTGGAAAGCATGCACGACAAGCTAGGGTATATGGTTTTCGGCTGCCATGTGGCTATTTCGCCAGGCTATAAGTTTTATCAATGGTGTCCCGCTTTAACCAATGTTAAAATCTGATCACCTTAAAAAGAGCATTCTTGTTTTCTTCTTGGTGGCTCCAGCCCTTGAATCCACCTCAGTTTTCCACGGGTGACTGGTTGTCTACTAAATGTTTTTGAACTAAAGAGATCTAGTGGCTTGAACTACCAGGTTTTGATACTAGGTGTCTTTGAAAACCCTAATTGCAAAAGATGACACACTTAGTCCCTTAAAGGTGTGTTTATATATCACAGCCGTAGGTTACTTTGTATGGGAAATCTTTGCTTCTTTCTACTCTCAAGCCTTCACTTATGGAAGGGGGAAATAGGATTTGGATAACAGAAATTTACGTTAGAGACCTGTAGCTTTGAATTGTTTTTATGGCTTGATGAGAGTGACATGCGTTCACATCAATCATAGCTTCAAGAAACCGCCTCTGGCTGTTGCCAACTGAGCAGTTAGTACATGCAGCCACTAGGAGGAGCGGATTAACCTGTTGCGGTAGTTTTAGGAATAAAATACTGGTTAAAAACAATGCATTATTGCTAAACTCAAGTAATTAGAGTTTATTTTCTGTGTTTATTCTTCTTTATCCCCACTTAAACAAGAAGCTTTTTGAGGTTTGTCTACTACTGTCAGTTGCAAAAGACGAGCAGGATCTGCTCTGCATGGTGATCTTGAGAAGAAAGTACTGTGTATGGCCGAGGTGGGCTTGGTTCATTTTAGAGATTTTCTCCCAACATGTTAACAGCTGGATTAGGATAAATTAAGACATCTCAGCCGACTATTTGAACAGTAGGATAATTAGTGTGTGCCTACCATTTTGTTAAGTACTTTACTTCCCTTGAACCTTTTAATTGTGTTAATTCCATTTTAAACAAAAGAATATTGAGACTTAATGATTGTCGTCTGAATATTTTAGTAGATCAGCCCTACTTCTAGTGTATTTAAACCTTGTTCGGACAGTTCCCTTTCTCTTGTCTGTAGGAGCTCGTGGGGGCTGTTTTCTTTTTGACAATTAGCAGTCCCCAGAAATTACAGCTTGATAAATGGTTAGCTTCGTTCCATTTAGGATGTTGTCACGTGTGCCAAAGCCCAAGTTTTGTTTTTCTTTTTTTGAAAAGTATAAAACTGATATATTAAAAAAAATAAAAAAAGAAAAGAATAAAACATGGTCATGGTCAGCAATTGAAGAGCCCTCTCCTGACCCTTCACTGCCTTGGGATAGCCACTATTCATGCATCTCAGCAAGGGCATGTTCCCGCTACGTATTACATGTACACTTTGAAGACAGGCGGAAGCAAGCTAAATGTTTTGATGCTTCTGGTTTTTAAGTTTTTATTGTTAGCCTAAAACTGTATCTCAGGCATATTCCTACACATATACTTCTTAATCTGTAACAACGTGAGATTGTATCGTCTATGAGTATGCCTTGGTTTGATTTCTTTGAGTTTCTCTTGACTTTTAGGTGATTCTTAACCTTTGTCCATCTAAACTGCATTGCAGTGAAAATAGACCTTTCTATTTTTAGCAGTTAAAGAACAGGTGAGATGATTTAACTCCGTGGGTTTATTTACTGTTTAACAGGGACATCTGTGCCCTTTGTTTAAAACGGAGGCTGAGTGAAGAGTGAGTTTCTCAGACAAGGAACATGGGAGTGGGTGAACCCTTGGGCATTTGTTGTCAGGACGCCAAAATCTGAAAGTGATCCCTTTATAAAGAAAGAAGGGCGGAGTTATTTATTGACTTGTTTTGTTTCTTGTGCCAGTTGGAAATGGAGGATGAAGATACAATCGATGTGTTCCAGCAGCAGACAGGAGGCGTCTTCTAAGAGGGAGCCTGCTCCTTTCC